TACACACAGTGATGCATAGGTGGTGCTCAGCAGCCACATGCTGACCATGTCTGTACTTGTGCAGGTTCTCTAACCCCGAGGAGTGTTCACTAGGAAGTATTAAAACCATCTCTAATGTTTTAGAAATCTGGCTTTTTTTCTTTATATTTTTTTTAGTCTATACTAAATGTACTTTGTTTTGAGTGTGTGTGTGTGTGTGTGTGTGTGTGTGTGTGTGTGTGAGGTATGGAACCCAGAGTCTTGTGCATGCTATGCAAGTGCTCTAGTAGTGAGCTGCACATCCTACTCTAAGGAAAGAAGTTGTAACATGCCATTGGCTTATGTGAGAGGTGACTTTGCCACTTGAAAATGCAGGATCTGAATTGGGAGTTCTGAGACAACGTTATTTTTGTTGTTTTTCCCCTGACATGGCCATGAAAATGAATCAGTTTTGACAGAGAGAGATGGATTAATTATCACTTTGGAAGTTTAATCTTTTTTTCTTCATGGCATCAATTTGATAATTCAAGAATGTTTCTTGAACTGACTGTTACTTCTCTAAATCACGTTATTTCAGAAAATGTTTTACGTTGCTAATGAAACTGTTTTTCATTAGTGTGTTTGAGAACATTTAAGGTGTTGAGAACATTTTCTGTTCTGCAGTAGCATGGTATTCCTTACTAGGATGTGCATGTGGGGCCTGAGTCTCCCACTTGAGAGCCTGTATTTTCCAGCCACAGAGTCAGTTAGCATATAAGATGATGGCATGTTACAACATCCTTCTCTAAAGTGGGGTGTGCAGCTCGGTACTAGAGCACTTGCACATGTGCTGTGACCAAGATGAGGGGTCTGGGGTAGAAAGGCAAGTAAAAATCATACCTTTTTGAAGAACTTTAGAAGGAGTAGTTCATCTTCCAGTATTTGGGTGTTTATGCTTTTAATATGTATCATGGACAGTTGTGATTTATGTATATATATATTTGTATTTCATATATATGAAAACAGTTATGATCTGCAATGTTTTAGAAACTTAGGTTTCACATATTGTGAGCTTGAGATTTTCTCTATCAAATAATATTCTTAACATTTCTCCAGTCACATGAATAATTCTGTTAGTTTATTGTATTTTGTATATTTTTCGTTAAGAATATTTGTTAGTTCTACTCTTTTGCTACTGAACACCGTACTGTTTTGAATATTATGACTTAACTTTTAGTTTGTCTGTAGATATTTTCCATTGAATAAATTTCTGTCATAGTTATAAATTTAAAGCTGGAAATTGAAAAGCTGTTTCTCTTTAGTGTTGAGGGCTGTGAGACATCCTGGCTGCCATGTAGCAGTAGTAGATGAGCAAGTGGCAGGTAGAGATGGGGAGAGTGAGTGCTCAATGTGGAGGTGTACATACATGGGAACAGCTCACACCACTGAACACTGAGCTGGACACCAGACCCTGTAGTAAGCACTTTACATGCATATTAGTTATTTGATCTTTACTCCATCTATATAAGGTTAGTGCATTTATTAACCTCACGATTGATGAGAAAGCTGAAACATTGAAAGGCAGTTGCTTTAAAGAAAAAACCTAGGGTTCTGCAGTCAAATGATGAAATCAAGATTTATAAGCAGTCGTCTGTCTTCAGATTCTGCATTGCTACCCCCTTCCTGACACCCCCAGTAAGTGCTAGCTAAGTGTGGGAATGATGAGTGGCTGCTGAACACCCACCGTTGAGCACTGTTCACCATCACTGTTACCTCTTCTGTGGTGCCTGACACGCAGTTTGTTCTTGGACTCTGGGCAGGCGATTTAGTGTACACACTGACATATCACCCTGTCAGGGCTGGGAGCAGCTCTCCATAATAAGCCTGTTTATGATGCTGAAGGAAAGCATGTTTGTTTTCACAACAAACATGATTCAAAACAACACTAATAATCTCCTGGCTTTTAGCACACACTGCTGAGTGAATTAGGAAGTTTTTTTGGCTTCTGGGATTGCAGTTGAGGGATTGTAGACCTGTGTACAACTCTTAGCATATGCCTGGCATTTGGAACTTGCTATATGTTGTTGGGAGTGTGAAGGTTAGAGGACAGCTTGGGAGTCAGTTTTTAACTTTGTGCCTTGTTGATGCAGAGTCACTTGTCTCTGCTGCTGTTCTGTGTACTTCAGACTGCCTGGGCTGGAAGCTTCTAGGTGAGTCTCCTGTCCATGCCTCACATGTTGCTATATGAATGCTAAGATGACAGATGGGCACCACCGCATCAGGCTTTTCACATGGGTCACAGGATTGACTGAACTCAATTCGTTAGGCTTGCTTTGTGTGGCCACATACTTTACTGAGCATCTTCCACCATCTTAATTGATGGTGTAACTGTTTATGACAGTTCCAGAGATATTGTATGCACTAATTTTAATTATGTCATGATATTACTTTAATGACAGTATGATTTAGATACAAATTTATTAAGTGTCCTTAATATATACATTTGCTATTAAAACAAATTAGATTTTAGATTTAAATCTATTTTTTTTCCGATTTCCTTGTTTTTTTAATTACTGAGTAGTATTCCATTGTGTAAATGTACCAAAATTTCTTTGTCCATTTTTTGGTTGAGGGACATCTAGGTTGTTTCCAGATTCTGGATATTATGAATACAACTTCTATGAACATAGTTGAGCAAATGTCCTTGTTGTATGGTGAAGCATCTTTTGTTTATATGCCCAGGAGTGGTATAGTTGGGTCTTGAGGTAGAGCTACTCCCAATTTTCTGAGAAAGCACCAGATTGATTTCCAAAATGGTTGTTCAAGTTTGTACTCCCACCAGCAATAAAGAAGCATTTCCCTTTTCTCACATCCTTGCCAGCATGTGCTCTTACTTGGGTTTTTTTATCTTAGCCATTGTGGTTGGTATAAGATGGAAGCTCAGAGTTGTTTTTATTTGCATTTCCATGATGACTAAGGATGCTGAGCATTTCTATTTCTTTAAGTGCTTCTCGGCCATTAGAGGTTCCTCTGCTAAAAATTCTCTGTTTAGGTCTGTACCCCATTTTTATTTTTTATTTTTTTAATTTTATTTTGTTTTTTATTTTAATCACAGGTCATTTACTTGTATCCCAGCTGTAGCTCCTTCCCTCTTTCCCTCCCAATCCCACCATCCCTCCCTCATCTCCTCCCTGCCCCCTTCCGAGTCCACTGATAGGGGAGGTCCTCCTCCCCTTCCATCTGACCCTAGTTTATCAGGTATCTTCAGGACTGGCTACAATGTCCTTATCTGTGGCCTAGCAAGGCTGCTCCTCCCTCGGGAGGGAGGGTACGGTGGGAGGGGAGATAGGATGATCAATCCTCACTTAGAAAGACAAAGGGGATGGACATGGGAAGTAGGAGAAAACAAGAAACAGGACAGGAGCCTACTGCAGAGGGCCTCTGAAAGACTACCTAGCAGTGTATCAAAGCAGATGCTGAGACTCACAACCAAACCTTAAGCAGAGTGCAGGGAATCATATGAAAGAAGGAGGAGTTAGTGTGACCTGGAGAGGACAGGAGTTCCACAAGGACCAAATATATCTGGGCACAGGGGTCTTCTATGAGACTGTTTCTCTAACCAAGGACTATGTATGGATATAACCTAGAACCCCTGCTCAGATGTAGCCCATGGTAGCTCAGTATCCAAATGGGTTCCTTAGTAAGGGGGACAAGGATTATTTATGACATGAACTCAATGACTGGCTCATAAATCTATTTTTTTTAATCCTTGGAAATACTCCTTTGAATTTTTCAAAAGATCTGTACATATGTTGTTCTTGCTTGCATGTTATTATATTATTGTGTTAACTTCTCATTACTATAACAAAATACCTCAAGTAATCCACTTATAGAAAGAAAATTTTATTTTGGTTTATAATTTTGGAGAGTTCAGAATGTAATTAATTAGCACCTGTTTTTGGGCCTGTAGTGATGCAGCATATTGTTCTGGGAGTGTGTGGCAAAATAAAACCACCTGTCTCTTGAGTGGGGCCTGATAGGAAGAAAGGAAGGGAGGAGATAATTAAGTCAGTTCAGGGTCCACAAACCCCCTCAACTTAAGGGCACCCAATCATTATTAATTTTTTTTCCGATTTCTACTGTCATCCAAAGTGCTATGCTGGGGACCAGACCTTTACCACCACATGGACATTTGAGGAGTACCTAGTATCCAAACTGCGGCAAATAGTATTTGTTTTCTTCCAGTGGTGTGTCCCAGTTACTGGAAATGTTGTCAATGATCATTTGCCTTTCTTTTTATAGTTTAGTTTCAGTCCTGTAACAAACCCAAGAAGCTGGAAGGGCCCTAAAGAGATTATCTAGTTAAATGGAAATGTGAGAAACAGAAATGTAATCTGTTAACTGTGAGAATGGTCTTATTTTTTTCTTGGCAACTTTTTTATCTGTAACTGGACATATGAAATAAGCATTTCCTGCTTTTTATTGTTAGAAAGGATATATACAGTCCATAGTCTATAAATCTGTTGGTCATAACTGCTCTTTGGTGGGAATTGGGGAGGAAGAAAAAGAATGAATTGGAATACATGCCTAGTGGGTGAGAGTGTGGAATAAAGAGCACCATCATCTTCTGTTCCTTTGTATTGCTTGTTCCCCTGGAACACCTCTCCCCTGGGAGCCGCATTCCCTGTATCCCCTGCTGGAATCTGGCATGTGTTATCTCGTAAGATCTGTGCTTTCAAACTGTGCATCTTGGTCAGTTTCTCAGGAATAGATGCTGAGTTTAAATTCCTAGGCAGAACACATGGAAAGGAATACATAATGTACAATAAGCAGCAGACACTGATCACAAATAAAATCACTGGCTTGGCATATGTTCACTAATGTAATTTTATATTTGACATTATTTAATTTAGGATCTTAAAATTAAGCGTCATTGAAATAACTGATAATTAGTATTTTATTTTTTTCTTACAGAATGGAAAATGGATAAAGTAAGTTTTTTTGTCATACTTTCAAAGTTGTATTTCTGTTATCTTTTTTAGGTTGCTGTAGTTAAACTGAAAAATGCAGATAAAGTATTTGCCATGAAAATTCTGAACAAGTGGGAAATGCTGAAAAGAGCTGAGGTAAGTCTTTCAACCTTGTAAAAACTGATGGCGCATCAGTTGTTTTTCATTTAGACTATTTTGTAGCATGTTGGTATTAAAAGCCTTAGTACATGGATATTGGAGTACTTTTGCAAACTCATGCCTAGTCTGAATATGTAGCAAGGGGGACTCAAATTATTAGTGCATCAAATTATTTTACCGAAATTAACTGTGTGTGTGTGAGAAAGGAATTTCAAAACAAGAGGGGTCCCAGAACCAGCCGTGTCACCACAAAGTGCAGTCAGTGTAAAGGGGCCTGTGAGGTGCTCAGCAGAGGGTGATCCCTGGACATTACTGTGGACAGAGAACTGACAACAGAAAGCTGTTCTCTGCCTGCACAGGTGTGCGCCGTGGCACCTGGGCACCTGCATACATTTGCACGTAGACATGTGTGCACACTTCTGCGCACACGCACGGAGTAAACATTTAAAAAGACAAAAAGGTAGAGGAACTGTGACATGCTCTCCGTCACAGCTGCTCAACGTCTCCAATTGGAAGGGAGGTCGACATGATCTTGGGATAATTTTTACATGAATGGGTTTTGTAGGTTGTGTGCATGTTGCAATATAAAACACTTTCCAAATTAAACTTATTTTAGCGGAAATTCTGGGCTTGGGGAGGGGGAATACATTTAAACATTGGAAGCTATTGCTTAAATAAATGTTTACATTATTAACTCAGGATGTATCTGTGTGTGTTTTTCAGCACACTTGCCAATTAACAGAAATTATCAAATGATTTTTTGTTATACTAAAACATTTTTATTGACTACTTAAAATTAATGTCTCAGTTTTTATTTTTTATTTTTTGCCATGTGTGGCCAATCAAATAGATGTTAAACTATATACTTTAAAGCAAATTCAAAAGCTGCTGGGTCAACCTAGCATTTAAGAGGTAGAGGCAGAGAGATTAAGAATTCAAGTTTGTCCTTAGTTATATAGCAATTGGATTCAAGGCTAGCTTGGGACACAAGAAGAACATGTCACAAACAAACAACAAAATTAATTTGATTCTTTGTTGTTAAAAAATGGAAATTTTAAGATTTTTTTCAATTTAAAATTCAATTTAGTTTTCAAAATGACAAAATATTAGACTTTAAATAGTCTCTTATTATTTGAAAAGATTTCTCTGAAACAGTATTTTATGAATGAAAGAAGCCTTTATTTTTATTCCCCAAAAATGAGAAGCCAGACAGGTTCTAGTAATCAATACAGTTTGTTGTTTTGTCTGATGATTTTGTCTGTTTTTATTGTATGAGTGTGTGTGAATGTGCATGTGTGTGATTATACATATGCATGGTATGTATGAGTATATGCATGTACGTGTCATGGTACCTATCTATGAAAGTCAGAGGACAGTTTTCAGGAGCTTATTCTGTCCTTTGCCCTTGGGACATGGAGACTAAACTCAGATCATCACTTTTTACTACTGGCCGAGCTATCTTGAGGCCACTGTGCATGCAGTTTTGATATGCTGCATCATATGCTGTATGTGATTGCTAATTTGAGTCATGTGGCAGCTTTGCAGAATTATCACTTATGTGTGGACCTTATTTAACTTCTCTTTTAACATAGAAAGTCTTTAAATTTATTAAAATTTCTTTTTCTCTCATATTACATCTTGATTGCAGTTCCCCTTCTTTTCTTCTCCCAGGTCCTCTCCCTACACACTCCCCGCACACACGCACACACACCCACACACATGCACACATACACACGCACTCCCACCCACCTACCTACCCACTCCTCATTTCTCTTCTAAAGGGCAGGCCTCCATGGATATCAACCAACATGACATGTCAAGTTGCAGTAAGACTGAGCACCTCCCCTCCTGTTAAGGCAGGGCAAGGCAGCTCAGAGGAGGAAAAGGGTCCCAAAAGCAGGCAGCAGAGTGAGAGACAGCCCTTGCACCCACTGTTAGGTGTCCCACAAGAAGACCAAGCTCCACAACTGTAATGTACATACAGAGGTTGGTTAGACTTGTGCAATCTCCCTGTTTGTCTGTTCAGTCTCTGTGAGCCCCTATGAGCTAAGGTTAGTTAATTCTGTTTTTCTTATTGATTTTCTTAGGTGATTTCTGGTTTTCTTGACTCCTCTGGATTTCCCAAGGCCCCCTTAATGTTTGACTGTGGGTCTTTGTATCTGTTTCCATCAGTTGCTGGATGAAACCTCTCTGTTGATAGTCATTCTAGGCACCAGTCAATGAGTCTATCAGAATATCATTAGGGATCATTTCATGGACTTTTTTTGTCCAGTCATGTTTAGTTCTATCCTAGGTCTCTGGGCTGTCCAGACTCTGGGTCCTGGCCTTCCAGACAGTGTCAGAGTGGACTCCCTCTTGTGGCATGGATCTCAAGATGGACCAGCCATCGGTTGGTCACTTTTACAATTTCTGCGCCACCTTTCTCTCAGCACATCTGTAGGCAGGACAAGTATAGGTTGATGGCTTTGTGGCTGGCTCAGAGCCTCTCAGCACCCCCCCCCCCCCCCCCCCCCCCCCCCCCGCCCCGCGGGGGGCCCCGGCCCCCCCCCCCCCCCCCCCCCCCCCACTGGAATTGCTGGTTAGAAGGGAGGGTCAGTTCAGGTTGCACATTCCCCATTGCCAGGAGTCTCAGCTAGGGTCACCTTGGCAAATTCCTGGGCGTTTCCACTGCACTAGGTTTCTAGCTCATCCACAAATGCCCCCCCCCCGATTCTAGTCATTTCTCTCAGGACTCTCTTCCTCCATCGTTCCCCCACCTGGTGCTTCCTGTTTGTATCTGCACTAGCCCCCAGTCCACCTGCAAAATTTAGTCCATTTCTTCCTCCCAGGGAGATTCATGCACCCTCTCTTGAGCTCTCCTTGTTACTTAGCTTCTCTGGGGCTATGGATTGTGGCACGGTTATCCTTTACTTATAAGGGAGTACATACCATGTTTATCTTTATAGGTCTGGGTTATCTCACTCAAGACGATTTTTTTCTAGTTACATCCATTTGCCTAAAAATTTTATGATGTTGTCATTTTAACAGCAGGGTGATACTGGGTAATACTCCATTGTATAAATTACCACTTTTTTTTTTAAACAAGGGAAAGTAGGGAATAACCTTGAATGCATTGGCATAGGGCACAACTTCCTGAACAGACACCAATAGCACATGCACTAAGATTGACATTAGTAAATGGGACCCAATGAAACAGAAAAGCTTCTGTAAGACATTTATATCATCTTGTTAATAGGTTCATCTGTGGTTACATTAAACAATTCTGTGAATTTTTCTGTTTTAGACTATAGTAATTCTAAAAAATAGTAACCTACTTAAGACTGTGATACAAATTTTGAACAACTGTTTGCGTAGTGTTTTCTAGGTTTGTGTGAAGTGTTCTTTAAAACATTTTCTTTCCCTTCCAGACAGCTTGCTTCCGTGAAGAGAGAGATGTGCTGGTAAACGGAGACAATAAGTGGATAACCACTCTGCACTATGCTTTCCAGGACGACAATAACTTAGTAAGAAGTACATGTTTTTGTGTCCTTAGTCTTTTGTTGACTGAGTTTAGCATCATTTTTAAAATGTTACTTAAATATAGGTTATTTTTTAATATAAAATTACTGCATTTTACAAAGCATAAGTTGTGTACCTGTATGAGAATTTTTTTCTGAGAAATTTGATGTTTGTTCTTAAATTGGATTTGCTAACGTCTTTAAATAAGAAATCCCAAACTAAATCTAAACTGTTTAATTTCTTTCAGTTAAATTCTATAGGAGGGGGTTCAGGAGTTTTTCTTCTTATGACTGTCCCAGTATATTTTATTAGTAGTATTCTGCTTCTTCTTTTTAAAATTTTTAATTATTATTATTATTATTATTATTATTATCACTTAAAACAATTTATTCAATTAGTATCCTGGCTGTGGCCCCCTTCCTCATCTCCTCCCAGTCCCACTCTCCATCCCTCTTCTCCCCCTATGCCCCTTCCCTAGTCCACTGATAGGGAGGTCCTCCTCCCCTTTTATTTGACCCTAGTCTATCAGGTTTCATCAGGACCGGCTGCATTGTCCTCTGTGGCCTGGCAAGGCTGTCCCTACCTCAGGTGGAGGTGATCAGAGAGCAGGCCACTGAGTTCATGCCAGAGACAGTCCCTGCTCTCCTTACTAGGGACCACACTTGGATACTGAGTCTATGGGCTACATCTGAGCTGGGGTTTTAGTTCCTCTCTGTGCATGGTCCTTGTTTGAGGTGTCATTCTACACTTTTTAAAATGACCAGGTGCTACGTTAGGTTGAGCCACACTTATATTGACATCATGGACCACTTCATGAAAGCTTGGGAGGAACTGAGGGAAAATTCACAGTATTAAAATCTGTAACACTTGAGTAAAAGGAAGAATGAATAGAGAAACTAGAAACAGTGAAGTAGAAGTCAACGGATAAATAAGGTTGTTTGCTCCATTTGGGTATGTACCTCCTTGGGCTGCTGCTATTCATAGTTCTTCAGGTTTTGATCCACTATTGTGTCCAGATTTATATCTTTTAGGAAAGTATTCATTTCTTGAGAAGCTGCTATGTACCATACTTGGCAACTGGAATAGAAAGAATAGTGGGCAGTTTTTGTTTATTTGCTAAATGCTTACTGCATGTATGCTCTCCCTAAAGTTCTTTGTATCTGGAGAGAGACTAGCCAGCGAGAGATAAAAGCTCTCTTTTCTCAGTGTTCTTTTACATAAATTATACCAGATGATAAGTCTAAACTCAAGTAGGTAATATATGTGAAGTAGTTTAGATGATGAAAACGCTACATTTTCAGGGGTATAAAGTCAGTGAAGATGCTACCCAGCCAGTTATAGCTTGGTAACATTTTGAGTTCTTTGTGCATTGCTGTACCTTGGCATTTTTATTATTTTTTATTACTAATGCATACCTATCCTGTTGGAATAATGAAAAAAGGGTAGTCTTCAAATATACTTTCCTGAACAAGATGGGTTAGCGAGCAAAGCATTGTGTTTATCGTGCTAACACATCACCACTCTGTGCTCATAGAATATAGCGGACACATGTATCGTCACATACACCATACATCCACCACATTCCCGGTTCACAGAAACGAATCGATTGGAAAGTCGGTAAACTTAAAACGGAATGCTTCAGTATAATTTAATGTCTAAAAATTAAATGAAAATGAGTCTGCAGCCATACATGTGGTTTCTAAGATGGTCATTTATTAGATAAGAAAGGCATTTACTGGTCTTCAAGCCAAATCATGCTTGACTGCAAAGCAGAGCAAAAACGGTCAGTTGCTCAGAGAATTGAAGACATCAGGAGCAGTACTGATTTTAAAGCTAAGAAAATGTGGAGATTTATTTGTTTATAGCTGTAATAGACATGAGGTTTGTTGGATATCAAGTCAGATCCAGATGTTTAAACAATGTTATTCCAATAGTATATACCTTATATGTGTATAGAATATGATAACTTTTTCAAAAATTATAAAATTGGACATAAAAGCAATTTAGTAGGCAGCAAGCAGCATTTAAAAATTAAGTAGAGAGCGGGGCAAGATGGCGGCACCGGGAGGACTCTCATTCTGAGGAGCAGCACAGCAGGATTGGCACAGTGACCAGCAATCAGAACTCGCGGTCATAAAACACAAGTGATTGTGTTTCACAGGTGAGGGGATACCCCACGGTGGGGGATTCAATCAGCTTTAACTCACCCGGCTAAACCGCGAAAGAGATCCCGGTTCCGCCAGGCGCTTGGTCACCAGCCCAGAGCTACACCCCAGCGTGATCTGGTCACGGTCCCAGACTGAACTGTGGGCCCACAACACCATAGACTGGATTTCCCAGTCGAGAGATAACCCCACGGAGCAGGAAACGATTGGGACTGACCTCAGGTTACCCAGACATCCCCTGGAAATGACTCGGGTTCCACGGGCGCCCCAAGAGCCAGCCTGGACCCAGAGCTGGGACCCAGGCGCCTGCACGGAGCCCTGCCTGCGCGCCTGATTCGCCGCCTCAGATAGAACTGTGGGCACCAGGGCACCAGGCACCAGAGACTGCATTTCACTGGCAGGTGCAAACCCACAGGGAGGGAAACGACTGGTCTGATCTCAGAGCACCCAGCCGACACCCCCACCCCGAAAGGGACTAGGGAAAATTACCCAGTTTAGGCAGCAACCAAGGCTCCAAACGGCCAGAAAGGCGGAGCCACAAGCAGGGATCTGTGCCTGTGGGTTCTACTCGCCACCCCAGACAGAAGAGCGGTCCCCAAAGCAAAGACTGTGTGTCTCTGGCAGGAGGAAACCCCCAGCGGAAGGGATCATCAGCTCTAACGCTTAGGACACCCAGCACCAAAACACTTCCTGGAATCACGCAGACTCTAGGCTCTAATGCAGGCAGGAGCGCTGTGCTCTGCCGCCATTATTGAGTTCCCCTAGGGCACTGGGACACACAGCTGCATCCTCAGACCTACAAAAGCCAGAGAGCCATTACAGCAGCCCTCAGATACTGTGCCAAGGATCAACCAGTTATCCCTAGCTAGACTGTCAAAACTGTGGGAATCCCTGGTCCTTCAAGAGGGCGGCACCCACAGTGTCTGGACCAGAGCAGTGCCTGCAGCCGCCATCCCAGACAGGGACACACAGCTTCTGGTCCAGAGTGAGGCACCCAGCCTCCAGACCAGAGCAGTGCCCCCAGGCGCCAACTCAACCTAGGTGCACATTCTCCAGGTCCAGAGCGGAGCAATCAGCCTCTGGCCCAGAGACTTGCTGAGTGCACCTCTCACTTTCCCAGACAGAACTGTGCGCCCCAGGATAACAGACTGAGTTTCCCTGTTGGGAGAAAACCCCACAGCTAGGGAATCAGCAGGTTCTTCAAGAGGACTGTACCTGGAAATTTAGTGAGCAGCAGCACACTAAATTTATAACAAGAAACCCAGCAGTGGGGCAGCTGTCTTGAGAACTTCTATGAGTAAGAGGAGATCCCCCCCTGCCTAACATAGACCACAGCTACTACTCAGGGCTATAAACCTGAGGTAAGCAGTGGCAACTCCTGAGAAACACTGGTCATACAGTGACCATAACCAAAAAGCAGAGAAGGACTCCTTCAGGAAAAATCATCTTCTGGCCAAGGGGATACTCCCTACCTCAGGACTCCAGGAAGCACAGAAACTAACAGCCAACACCTAAATCAGCCCAATGGGTAGAGGTCAGCGTAAAAGCTCAACCAACAAAAGACAGAGCAATATGGCATCTCCAGAACCCAGCCATCCAGGGGCGAACAGCCCTGGACAATGCAGCATAATAGAAACTCAAGAAGATAACCTTACATCTGTGTTGATGAAGAGGATAATAGAGGAAACAAATAAAATACGTAGAGAATTATCTATCAAAGAAAATGTTAAATCCAAAAAATTCCTGACACAGACCGTCCAAGAAATCCAAGACAATATGAAAAGACAAAACTTAAGAATAATAGGAATAGAGGAAAAAGAAGACTCCCTTCTCCAAGGCCCAGAAAATATTTTCAACAAAATCATTGAAGAAAATTTCCCCAAGTTAAAGGAGAAGCCAATAAGGATACATGAGGCCTACAGAACACCCAACAAATTTGACCAGAAAAGAAAATCCTCCCGCCACATAATAATCAAAACAGTAAGTATACAGAACAAAGAAAAAATACTAAAAGCTGCAAGGGAAAAAGGCCAAGTAACATATAATGGCAAACCCATTAGAATCACACCTGACTTTTCAACAGAAACTATGAAAGCCAGGAGGGCCTGGACAGATATCATGCAGACCCTAAGAGAACACAGATGTCAGCCCAGGCTACTATACCCTGCAAAACTCTCAGTCCTCATAGACGGAGAAAACAAGATATTCAATGACAAAAACAAATTTCAACAATACCTACACACAAATCCAGCATTACAGAAGACACTGGAAGGGAAAATACAACCCAAGAAAATTAGCTTCTGTCAAGAAAACACAGGAAATAATTAACCTTACTACAGTAAAACAAAAAGCAACCAAGCACACAACCTTATGAACACAGCCAACATCAAAATCAAAGGATCTAACAGCCACTGGTCATTAATCTCTCTCAACATCAATGGACTCAACTCTCTAGTAAAAAGACACAGATTAACAGAATGGATACGTAAACAAAACCCAGCAATCTGTTACATACAAGAAACACACCTAAGGCACAAAGATAGACATTACCTGAGGGTGAAAGGTTGGAAGACGACTTTCCAAGCAAATGGATCCAAGAAACAAGCAGGAGTAGCCATTCTAATATCTGATAAAATAGACTTTCAACCAAAATTAATAAAAAGAGATGAGGAAGGACACTTCATACTCATCAAGGGAAAATTCCACCAGGAAGACATCACAATCCTGAACATCTATGCCCCAAATACAAAAGCACCCACATTTGTTAAAGAAACATTGATAAAATTTAAACCACATATAGATCCCCACACATTAATAGTGGGAGACTTCAACACCCCACT